ACTGGATAAGCTCCGGTGGCAGGTATCCCCATCCTAAATCCCTACAGGAAACTACAAAAATTCAAGCCTAGAGCAGCTGTGAGAGAAACAGGGACACAGAGGCTAAACAAAGCCTGTTTGTTGTCTGTTGCAGAATCACTTTGATAAATCATACTAGAATGAGCTTTTGATGAGGGCCTTATGCATCAAGGGCGGTTGAATCCTGAACCTTTACATATCTCTGTACACATAAAATACTTTTCATCCCTGAAAGGTTTCCCAGTCTTGCAGGTAAAATAAGGCAATCTTCCTCCCAAGAACCAAATTATGGCTAACATGCTTTGAAAATGAGCTTACTGAACACAGCAAGTGTGGGGAACCGGTGTTTGTGAACTGCACTATCCACATTTGCTATTGCCACCATGACTCATGTCTTAATTCGCCTCCTCTTTAGATTATGGTAAACAGCTACACTTGAAAAGCATCCAGAGATGGCATCAAGTGTAAAATGCAGTCGCCAGACGGTTATCTGGCATGCACTTCACAGACCAGTGACATCCGTCTTGAAGCCTTTGCATTGGCTTCCAGTTCCTTTCCAGGCCCAGTTCAGCTCTTGCCTTCAAACCCTAAACAGCTGCAGCCTGGGCTGCCTGGAAGGCTGCCTCTTCCTCTATGAGCTTGCACCAAACTTATGATCATGACCTGAGACCCTGTTCTGCATCCCACATCCCAGAAATAGCAGTGGGCACCCGAGACTGCCTTCTGCCGCCTCACTTAAGGAGCTCCCTCTCCAGCAGGTGAGGCGAGCTTTTTCCTTCAGACACCTGGCAAAGCTAACTTTGTTCTGCTGAGCTTCTGAAAGTTAATGCAAGTTCCAATTTTATCAAAGCTCTCTGGTTTCATTCTAATGTAATTTTTCATGTCTGTCTGTGCTCATAGTTTTTGTTGATGCACAATTTTTAATTATTTCCCTGCTTCTATCTGAATAACATCTCGAGTGCTCATGGAGTTGAGCAGCAATCCAAAAGGATACTGAGCAACAACACAGAAGCAAAAATAATGGTGCCATGGTCAGAGTGCTGGATGGGTTTCAAGTCTCCGCTTGGCCATGAGGATGACGGGCTGTTTTTGGGCCAGTCACTGGCTCTAAGCCTAACTTGACTCACAGGGTTGCTGTGAGGATAAAACGGAGAGGAGGAGGACTATGTGGACTAATTTGGGTTCCTTGCAAAAGTGAGAGTGAGAAATACAGAAATAACACCTGCACCACCCCATGCCTGCCTGCCTTATGGAATATTTCCTACACAGCCCTTTCTTTTGTATGTTAACTCAAATAGTAAACTGATGACTCAGGAAGCTATTTTGAGGAGGTGACTAAGAAAGGTTTCAAGTATCTTGTGACTTTAGTAAACTGCAGAAGATACACCATATCAGATTACCTACACGTTTGCATGGATTCATTTATTCTATCTGCACCCTACTTTTTCCTGCAAGGAATCCAAGCTTGCATAGTTTTCCTTCCATTTTATTCTCGCAACAACCCTGCGAGGTAGGTTAGTGAGGAACTTTTGCAAAGCAACCAGGTTCGCTTTTCTGCCTGACAGGGCTAGAACCTTGATCTTCTGAGTCCCAGTCCAACATTCCAACCACTACACCACACTGGCTACTCAGTGATATTTGCTACTCAGGCTGATGACAGGCTAACAGTCCAAAGCAGTGAAGGAAGAAGGACAAAGTACTGAGTCAGCTTCCAGTGTTCCTCTGAAGCCTGCCCAATGGCCCTAACCATCACATTCAGTAATACCATTGGTATATACACTAGTAGAATGAAGGCATATACCAAGGCATGCGCAGTAGCTTCTTTCTGCACTGTGGAACTACTTCCCCTTGCACTTTTCAGATCCATTGTACATTCCTTAGGCTGATATTTAGTGATGGGTATCGAAGGTAGTGGGAAGTAGGCCTCAAATATACACGATTCCATTAATTTGTCCATTGTGTATTTAAAAACATATATGTACTAGTGTAGGGCCTCCCGTTATCTCTAGACTAAAAGAAAGCAAATATTTGAAAAAACAAACTTCTTTATGGTGGGAAAAGCGCTTGAAGCAAATAGATTTACTTTGGCATTAACTCTTTGCAGGCTGCAACCAGCGCAACCCTAATGACTCAAGTACCCTGGAAATTTTTCTCAAGTAAAATACAGGAAAAGGAAGTATAGGTATCCTTCACACTCCTGGACAGACAGAAGACTCATTCATCCCCTGAGATGGTATAATCTGGAAATGAAAGATGTCACACCTCAATCACAGCTATGGCCTTGAATATTTGTGAATGTTAAGAGAAAGAGAAAATTCAGTACTGTCGCTTTAAAATGGTAATTTTAGCTCATGGAGGGGAGAACACACCTTTTCTCCATTTTTTTCTGTTCAAGTGACATGTAATTGTTAATCTAGTTCAGAGAATACCCTCTGATTGACAGTGCATATTTTTCCCGTTGGTGATTGAGGAGGGTGTGTGTGGAAATGAGGTCAGGCTCATTAAGTTCCTTCTACTTTAATAGGTGATTTAATATTGAATGAATGCAGACTGTGAACTTAAATATATCACTGCAATTCAGTACATTTCTGAGCTAGAGAAAAGAGTAAATAGGTCTGAAAGATGAGAGGAAATTATCACCCTCATTTTCTTTATTTCCTCTGAAGAAGGATTATGTGCCATCGGAGCGCAGGCAGGTGCCAGGATCAGCTCAGCTTGGTGAAGGGTGAGCTTTCCATGTGCATAATGTAGTGCTTATCCAGTGGAAAGGCTGGCCTCTTGTAACTTTGGTACCAAGGATGCCGGGAATATCCCATGATTCTCTTTCCAAAGCAAGCACTGCAAATTCTGAACAGGCAATAGGTTAAAAAATATAGGCACTGGTTCCAATTTTGAGGTGGGTGCTTGGACAAGGTACACACTATAGTCATGTGGTCTTTTCAAAAGAATCTCCAGGTGATAAAGTGCCCAGAAATACTATGAGCGAAATATTGTTCAGGGATATTGCTGTAGTTTTAGCATGTGGGAATGCTGTCACATAATTGTTTAATCACATAAATAGTGAATAAAAATCAATTTGAAGTGATTCTTCCACCCAAAGAGAGTGCAAGTGCAAGACTTTTTGGAATGCACCCTTGCAAAAGGCAGGCAAAGAGCTGTTTTTCTGAATAAAGGTAAAGGTTTCCCCTTGATGTTAAGTCCAGTCATGCCTGACTCTAGGGGGCAGTGCTCATCTCCGTTTCCTAGCCGAGGGAGCCAACGTTTGTCCGCAGACAGTCTCTGTGGTCATGTGGCCGGCATGACTAAACACCAAAGTGCATGAAATGCTGTTACCTGCCCGCCGAAGTGGTACCTTTTTATCTACTTGCATTTACATGCTTTCGAACTGCAAGGTTGGTAGGAGCTGGGACGGAGCAACGGGAATTCACCCCGTTGTGCAGACTCACACAGGTGATCTTTCGATCAATCAGCCCAGCAGCACAGAGGTTTAAACCACTGTGCCACCTGCATCCTGTTTATCTGAATATTTGTAGCCATTTTGTGATGGTGATCAGGATGGTTTTTCAAATTGTTAAATGTGCCCATCAGCCTATCTCTGATGCTGATGGTCTCAGACTCTGGCAAACAGATTTGTGATAGTTGGCCACTGGAAAATGGCTTTGCAGCTCAAGTTTTGGACTGTGAGCATGTACTTGTAGCACCAATTTTGGTAGTGGCTCACATCATGATCATGTGATCAGGATGATCATGATAATCTTAAAACATTTATTTAGAAAGTGGTCAATCTGGGAAGTACTTAACTATTCCTACAAACGATAATATTCCTTCTTCAACATTATGTATGACAGCCTTTCTTTGGAAGACAGAAGCTGATGCATCTCAGCAGCAATCACCAAGGATCACTTTTAAATAGCAATTTCCAGACAGCTGGCCATGTTGGTCTAATATTAATCTTAAAGAGCTAAAAGATGAGCAAAGTTATTCCTACAGCTCTTGAAATGGACTATGGTGTACAAAAGCTTATGCCAAATAAATTTGTTAGCCTTTAATGTACCACAAGACTCTCTGCTGTTTTAAAAAAGCAACTCAAATCCGAACTTGTCCAGTGGGTAATGTGTTGGCTTTGGACTGGAGAGGTGTGCATTCCAATTGTAAGATCTATAAAAAGGAGATTCTCTTTGGCCACAAACTTCCAAGTTCTCTGAGAAATTCCTTTAACTTTTCTCTAGAAGTGAGATCTAACATTGTCTAGGGCAGGGGTCAGCAACCCATGGCTCCAGAGCCGCATGTGGCTCTTGAATCCCTCTGCTGCGGCTCCATCACTCACAGCCCCCGATCTGCTACATGTGGCGGCACAGCCCCAATCTGTTTCATAAATGCAACACACCATAGTTTTTTTATACTATATATACTTTATATAGCATAAAGGTAAAAAAACAATATATGCAGTGTTATTTTCATTTTAGAGGTCAAGAGAGTTTTGCGGCTCCCGGTGTTTTGTTTTCTGTGGGAAACGGGTCCAAATGGCTCTTGAGTGTTAAAGGTTGACGACCCCTGGCCTAGGGCATGTCTTTTCCTGTAAAGTGCAACTTCTTTATTCCATATTCAAATAGAAACTTGTATGCTGCCAAGGCTTTTCTTTTGTTTCACCTGTTTGATATTGTATATTTTGGATGTTTTGATGCTATTTCACCTTGAGTGTCTTTAGAAAGAAAAGCATGACAGATTTTTTTATTTGGAAGCCTTCCAAATAAATAAAATAAATTTTGTAAATTAAACATCCTGCTCCATTCAAGAGTATAACTGATGAATCAGGGCCAAGCACACTCTTTGCCTTAGTTTTACAGGATGTCAACTATAAAACAGGCTCACCATATAAAATTATAGTTAGGATAAAGGGGATGCATATTTTGAAATCCTAAAGAAAGTATTAATAATGATCCTTGAGACTGTTGCAGCCTGTTAGGCCAAGGAGAAGTTACCTGGGCTACTGCTGCCGCACCTTTGCTGGTGATGCAGGGATTCAAGATCACAAGGGGGAACTCTTGCCCTTGGGACTTCTGTGACTCCAGGCATCTCTGTCTCTGCCGTATCAACCCTGTCTGGTACAGTGATTCTTCTGGAATTCTAAGAAGAGAGACACTGGATGAGAATTGTAAGTTTTCACCTGGTAAAAATAGTTGCACATTGTAAGCAGCACACCAATGTGATATAACAGACAGAGTGTTGGCCTTAGTCTAGGGGGAACTGAGTTTAAATTCCCATTTAGACATGAAGTACTATTTGCCTGCCTAACCTACCTCTCTGGCTTGTTTAGAAGATACATTTGTGAAGGTGCACACATGCCCTGAGGCCCTTGTAAGAAGGGCATGTAAAAAAGGAATTATGCTAAATCAACAGTTGCTCAAAGGGTTGTAACCCATGATTAAACTTTTGCAAGGGTTTGATGGCGTGTAAAGATTTAGAGGGGATATCCCCTCTCAGTGATTATCTAGCTGAAGACAACAAGAAAAACAGCAATCCTATGCATGTTTACTCAAGAGTAAGTCCCCCTGTGATCAGCACAGCTTAGGGAAATGTGCACAGCACTGTAGTCATAACGTGATCTCGAAAATGGAAAAAAAGGGAAATTTCTGAAGTTCCACTTGCACAGCAAATAGCACACACGTAAGCATGGACTAATCTCTTTGTTTTGCTTTTTCATTTTTCCAGTCTTGATTTGTCTCAAATGTTTTCCCCATAATATATTGCATATCTGAATGTTATTTCCCCTAATATATTCATTTTTGTATATGGTTTGATTGGCATAATTCTATTGCAAAATTCAGAGAAGTACAGTTTTGGAAGAACGTGTTTTCATTTGCACAGATGAAAATGTGCAAATATGAATTAGGTAAATTCACCTTAAAATACACACTCAGTCAACTCTCCCCTGATCCCAACATATGAGACGTGTTGAAAAACTGATAATACCTAAGTTCTGGATAGACATTTTCCAAATACCACTTGAAGGTATGACATTTCAAAGACTTTCTCAGTTCCACTCTGCTCTGGATGCTGTCAAAAAGAAAATGTTTGCAACATGTATTTATTTTTATTTATGCATTATAAAGTACACACCACCCAACTGGCAAATGCATTTGAGGCACTTGATAATCGCAACATAATTATGCAGCTTGAAATGGGCTCGTCTCCTAAAGTCCAGATTTGCCGATGCTTAGCAAGTTGCAAAAACTACAGGTAATAAGGAATCTTCTCCTCCAAACTCCCACCACCTATGACTCTGTGTAGCATGTAATTGAACAATAAAGAGCTACTCTAGAAAACATTGTGTGACCGACATAAAAGCATCTAGTTTTTCATATGTATGAACACAACAACTCTGGGTCAGGATCAAGACCATCGGGGAGGGGGATAAGCCCTTTGTTCTCCATACTCTGGTCTCAGTGAACATCCCCTCAAAGCTACTTGGCATGGAAGGGATGCTCTCACTGGCACAAATCAAAGATTCTCTCTGGGGGTGAGCAGTTGTTTGGTAATTTTAATCAGGATTCTGGTACAGGAGAAAAGACTAACCGCCACCCGAAGGCACCATGGTCTGGATCCCCATCCCCTTCCTGCAGCTTTTATTTAAAATGTAAAAACTAGCAATGTTATTTGCAATAGTGCCTAGATTTGCGGTGCTGGAGAAGACTCCTGTGAGTCCCTTGGACTGCAAGGAGATCAACCCTGACTGCTCTTTAGAAGGCCAGATACTGAAGGTGAAACTCAAATACTTTGGCCACCTAATGAGAAGGAAGGACTCCCTGGAGAAGAGCCTAATGCTGGGAACACTAGATGGCAAAAGAAGGAGGGGACAAAAGAGGATGAGGTGGCTGGATGGAGTCACTGAAGCAGTCGGTGTGAGCTGAAGTGGACTCCAGGGGATGGTGGAGGACAGGAAGGCCTGGAGGAATGTTGTCTGTGGGGTTGTGATGGGTTGGACAAAACTTTGCAACTAACAACAACAACTACATTTATTACTTCCACTGCTAGGGTACGCTTATGCCATTCCTGCTTTGCATCACCTTTTCCAACCCTGAGTGTGGAAAGGATTCCCCAGATCTGCTCTTCCATGGCTATGTTTTAAAAGGGACAGACTCCAAGGAGAAGTCATTTTCACCTGCATTAAATGTATGGTCAGTGACCAGGGCTGTCCCAGTGCTTACATAAATGAACACTAGTGCAACCTCATCAGCACTTGCAAGGCAAAGGGACGAACCATGAGATCTGAATGGCAGCAGTAAGTTGCCATTTTTCCCATTGCCAAGCAAATGCTAATGCTGTTGTGCTAATGCTGTTGGTACAATGTCATTAATGCTGTGAGGAACTACACACACACACACACACACACACACACACACACACACAGGGAAGGAGGGAGGGAGGCTGGAATCTCAATTCAGCTGGGGGACATGTATGCAGGAAAGTGAATTTTGCACCTATATTATGGAGTGCAACCTAGATAAGGAACCTGCTGCACACAAAGGACACAGTTGTGAACCCCGTGCAGCACACAGCGTGAAGAAAGTTAGTAAGACCTAAGAGGAAAGAAAGTGATCGGCTGCATTTTCTTCCCAAATTCCAGTTTCCTTCAGATGAATTTTACCATTGGCAATGACTTGATCAGGGATCCACACACACAGTGGGACCAATTCAAAAACAAAGCTTTAGAGTGCATGATTATAGGTGGTATAAGAATCTCATTTCAGATGCAACAAATATCCCAAAAACTATGAGGGCTGGAAGTGGCAAGAGGGCTAAAAGGTAGAGCTGTTCTGCCATTTTGCATCACCCAAGAAGCGTACACCTTTACAAAACAATCCCGCACTGCATGAAGGAAACAGGCAAGCAACAAACCAAGCAACCAACAAACACAGAAAGAAGGAAATGAGACAGGTAAAAGTGGAGTATATTCCCTCACTTCCTTCTAGGCAAGGTTGTGACATGACTTGCTGCCCTGGGCAAATATGGAAATAAGGATTAAGATTGCTAGGCTTGTATTTCTTCTTTATTTCTTTGCCCTGGGGCACTGCTTATGCACACAACTCGCTCATTAGTAAGGACAGTGTATTCTCCTCGCCTGTCCTGATAGGACAGTTGTTAAAGGAAGAAACAACCTTGGGTTTGACACAGGACAATTCCCGGCTAGAGAGAAGAGGATATGACTTTTTTCGTTTTCCTCTGTGAGCAAACTCTTCTTTCCAGTGAGATGAGCCAACATGGTTTTATAGAAGCTCATCTTTTTTTATATACCAAACAACAAGGACTTTAAATCCATATACTTGCAGCATCTGTTTACTATTAACATCTAATTAACTGATCCCACAGAAACAAAATGCAGGCTTCCCAACAGCTGGACGAGGCTCCTATAAAACGGTAATGAGGTTCCACTGTATCAAGCCACGGAACGCCTCTCTTTGTGTTTTCCTTCGCCGCCAGAGGGGGGCACTTACTCTCCATATGGCCTCCCTTGAGCCGCGGGCCGGGCAGCGTAATAGTATTGCTTATATTCATCCATCCAGACTTCAGCTGTGCGCTTGGTATTTCTAGGGAAAGACATTAAAAATGAGGGAGAGACCAAAGAAGCATGCACGAAAGAGTTTTAATTTGATGCCTTTGACAAAGGCCTGCAGGGATAAGGGGGAGGGAGAGAATCCCTCTTCTCCACCACGGCCCACCTTTTTCTTAGAGGCATGTAGGGGATGAAAAGGGGAGGGGGAGATACTAAACAGATTATTTTCCTCATTAGGCGTGAGGGCACTTTATTTCTGGGAAGCAAGAAGAACCTGGACTTGTATTCATGGTTTAATGGCTGTTTCTCTCATTATGTTTTTAGATGTACATCTAAGATTATCTGTGGGAGCTCTCTATACAACTCCAAACACGGATTTTCCAGCTTTTTGGATTCTGAGGTAAGCCCCCAGATAGAGGAAGTGCTCTTCTTTACAAAGTTGGCATCCACATGTAGAGATGACAGAGGGAAGCAGGATTGGCCCATGCTCCCCCTTTGTCCGCTGATGGTCCTCCCATTCTAAATGCCAAAAGAGAGTTCCTGCCTTATACCAATGGGCCCATCTGTTGACATGCACTGACTGTGATCATTTCCACCGAGATCAGATTCCTCTCCCTGGTCAGTTTTGGAATCTCCACTTCTGGATCTTCTTCCCAAGTGGACTGCATGGAGCTCTCATCACACCAAAATTTATAAAGCACCCCTTCCATTTGTGATATATATTTTCACATCAACTGCAGACTGACATATTTTTCTCATGCAGAACATCGGTTGGCTGGACTTGGACAGACAGGCTGATTTTTAGTTTGGATCAGCTCAACAGTCCTGATGACAATTTTCTGCTATGTTCTGTTTTATGTGCTAAATACAAATTGCAGCTATGGCTACATGGCAATAAGTGCCACTGAAACATTTATTAAGAATGCAGGTTTATTGCTGCTGCTTGTACAGTTTCAGAGTTGCCTGGTTCTTGGAATTATTGACTGAGGCTGAGCAGTTACATCAGTCTACAATTCATGGCTGTAAGTATCAGTGTGAGTAAGTATGATCTGCAGAGACTTCCAAGAATGGAATAATGAACTGGAGCACCTCATCTCATCCATTCAATGGAGTGCTTCATCACTCATTTTGCATGGCACTTAGGCCGTGCTTAATGCAGCAAAAATTGATGTGTCGAGTGCATGGGATGCTACATGTTTCTCTTCTTGATATGTTTTAGAAATGCTCAATGGAAACTTTCTTTTCAGAGGTAGTGATTTGGATGCATCTTGTGAGGGATTTTTTTTTTTCATATTTAAGGACACACTTTTTTTGAATTACCTACCCACCTCTTGGAATTTAACACAAGGATATTGTAAATGGTATTCTGTGCCCTTTTGGCAGCTAAAACACTAACATTACAACACTGGAAAGATAAACAGCCACCAACCTACAATAACAATTTAACTTTCAATTTTTGAATGGGTACCTTTAAGTATAATTTACAAATGGATAAATATATGGAAATTTGGGATGCCGATGCATACTTATTTATAACAGGAATATGTTCTGTCATATACTAATGTGTGTGTGTGTTATAAGTAATATGTATATACATAATATTAGCACTATGATTATTTTTACTTTTTATTAAAAACTGCAGTGTTTCCGCTTTCTTTCCTTTATAATGGAGTGGTTTGTTGTTGTTGTTTTGGTTTTTGTACTGCATAATAAAATAATGGGAAAATTGCTTCTGCCAAGCATTCATTTAGTTCCAAACCCAGGTTTACTGCCTAGCAGTGTATGGAACAATCCTCACAGATCATTCCAGTTAGGACTAAGGAAGAACTCAATTTCCAAGTCACCTCCCTTGGGATCATCAGCTTGAAGAACCTTGGCTTATTCAATGAAGCACTTTCTGGCTTTGCAGTCAACAGCATGATATGTAAGCCTAAGCCTGGAATCAGAACAGAAATGGACCCACAGTTCCATGAAGGAACAGTGCCTTATATGCATGCACAATATTTCAGATTCTATCTACTGCACCTCTGCTTAAAGGATCTTAGGGACAAAGCAGAGCTTCTGCTTCTAGCCTTGGAGAACCGCTGCTTCTCAGAACAGACAGTACTGGGCTCAGCTGACCAATGGGCTGGTTGGCTATAACCCAAAAAATAAAGAAAATGACAAAACCCCAGACTACCTCTAAAACACACTGGAATGCCCAGAGGGAGGAAAATTAGTTGTTTCGCTGAGGGCATTTGCTATCCCAGAAGCCATGCCCAAGCAGGCCCCCAAGCACTGTTTTAACATCAGAGATCCAAGGGAACCTGGAGGATGGCCTGAAAGGGCCCAAGCAGGCTCATGGAGAAGAGGACAGTGTTCTTCAACTGAGGTTTTCAAACAGAGGCTGGATGGCCACCTATCAGAGATGCTGTAGCACAGATTTCCTGCACTGGTAGGGGGTTGGACTAGATTACCTTGAGGTCCCTCCCAGTTCTAGCATTTTACGATTCAGCTAGTTAGTCTCTTAGAACAATCTATTCAGACAAGTGGGCTTCATGTCTTTTGAGTTAATTCCTCAAACAAACCAACAAACTACTTCCCCTCTTACACACCTCAAATATTGCAAAAAGGACACAGCTTTTGGCACACATCATCAAGTCTTGGAGATGTGTGAGGATTTTGTTTCAGTCTGCAAATCAATAAAAAAATGCCCCAGTTGCAATCCTGAAGTGAACAGGAATACATTTCCATCCCACTCCTGCTGCCCCAACACCACATTCATCGGTGTCTCCTGACTTTCTGTGCGGCATTTCCAGGGGCTGGAAAGGCTGCCATGGGGAAGGGAGGGTGCAGAACTGATCCAACATGAATCTGGATCTGACCTGATATTTGTGCCCCTACATTTTGTCAGCCTTCTCCTTGCTCCCAGAATGACTCAGTATTAACTAGCCTGTTTCCAAAATCTACTGTTGCGGTCCCTTGAAAAGGAACCAGAGGGTGATGCATGATTTTTGCATCAGAAGCTCAACTGCCACACGAGCAACTCACTTCTGCCATGCCTGAATTTGCATCTAACAGCTGGTGTGCATCTGTGAAGGAGTGCATAGAATTCCAATGGTTTGGCTTAGTACATCTTCAGTAAAATGTCTTCTTTACTCATTCGGTCCCCACCACAGCTTCCATTCCTCCAGATTAATAAATTTTATTAATTTAAGTTCTGAACAACCTCCGTTCAAGCAGACTGCATTTCCTTTCCCCCTTCTGCAGTTTATTTCAGCTATGATGCCTCACACTTGATTAACTGTGCATATGAAGACTTTAATTCCTGAAATGTGAAACTGATCAGTGGTGTTGCTAATTATTGTAGCCTCTAATATGCTCAGTCAAATATTTTTGACTTTTTTCTGATATGCACACAATGGAGTTGCAAGGAACGACTGCTCCATTCATTTCAACAGAGCCAGGAGCTGTGGGCTCATGTACTTCCTCCTCTGTGGAAATTAATGAGGCAGTTCACAAGTGCACACTTGACAAATACACTGGAGTGCACACAGAACCTTGGAATAAGAGTTTTGTGTTCTCTCTAAACAACCACGTGCATTTTAAATAACTATGGATGGTGGCACCAGAATGTGTATGATGTGGAGGGAGGGACATTTGCTTAAGTGAATTCTGTGCAACGGGTAACTAAGTACCTCTACTGCCAAACTAAAGTTTCCGCACTAATTAAGGCAGCACGAGGAGTAGCAGCATTACATTTATGGCAGTTCCACAGTGTCATGGGTGGTTGCAGCTCAAGCGTGCAGGCCTGAAAGCCTTTGGCTCCGAGTAAACGGAGCAATGATGGAAGCAGCAGGGGGGGCTCCAAATCTGAAGGCAACGTCTTCCCAGTGGATCCTCCCCAGTGGCCCCTCAAGGTGTTCAGCAGGGCATGAGCGGCGGGTAAGTACAAAGGGGGCTCTAAACTAGGTCCTGATGTAAGTAGTGGTGGTTTCCTCCAGGGCCCCTGAATTTTATTTATTTATTTATTTGCCAATCTATATCCTGCCTTTTTTCCTGCAAAGAGCTCAAGGCAGCTTACAGCATTCTCCTCCTCCATCTTATCCCCACAACAACAACGCTGTGAGGTAGGTTGGGCTGGGAGTCTGTGACTGGCCCAAAGCCACCCAGTTGGCTCCATGGCTGAGCGGGGACTAGAACCCAGATCCTCTGAGTCCCAGTCCCATGCTCTTCACCACTACGCCACACTGGCTCTCAACATTTCCTTGAGAATGTTGCATGTTGGCACCTGACTTCCAACAGTATAGAGCAGATGTAATTGGACAATCCAAGTGCACGCCAGTTAAAATCCATAAACTGGTGAATTTGCAAATGCAAATCATGTGCTTGTTCTTTCTTAACATGGTTCTGTCTGGCTTATCATGCAGACTCAATTTTTCATGGCCATGGACCATGCAAGCATACCTGCCTCCATCTCTGTGACTGCATCTTTAAAGAATTCCACTAGCTATGCAGCCAGCTTCTCTACGCAGGTGAACACATGCTTGGGAGTATCACTGATGGATAGATGCCTGCAGGGCAATGACATCTTCTGCTTACTGAGGCAGCAGCTCCATCTCAACTTCCTTCCAAGTTCTCCAAATTATCACAGAATCATAGAATAGCAGAGTTGGAAGGGGCCAGAAAGTTGTCAGGTCAAACCTCCTGCTATTGCAGGACACGAAGATATACCATCCCACTCAGATGACTGTCCAGACACTTTTTGAATGTCTTTGGTGAGGAAGAGCCCACGACTTCCCCAGGTGATAGGTTCCACTGTCGTACTAATCTAACAGTGAGGAAATTCTTCCTGATGTCTCATCTAAATCAGGTGTCTTTTAACTTAAGTCCATTATTCTGTGTCCTACACTCTGAAATGAGTGAGATCTTGTCCTTCCTCTTTGAGGTACTTGTAGAGGTCTATCATGTCCCCCCTCAGTCTTTTCTTCCTGAGGCTGAAAATGCCCAGTTCTCTCAATCTTTCCTCATAGGGTTTTTTCTCCAGCCCCTGGTACATCCTGGTTGCCCTCCTCTGGCCCCTTCCGAGCCTATCTGCATCTTTTTTAAACAACATGGGGTCTGACTAGTGCTGCATATAGGGAAACTAGTTACTTCACAGGTTTTGGAAGCACTAGTAATTTGGAATTTCCTTGATTTTCCTACAAGTTGTTCTTACATTAAAAGATATTGAAAATCCACCCTTTAACCCTCAAAATCTGTGAGTTTGGGATAATGAATTAGATTAAGCAGTAGATACTGAGCATTTGGTCTTTTACCAAATGCATTTGGATTTCTTTCAGTAGTGTGTGAGGCATAAGGATGGCTGTATCTGTGAGATGCACTTTCTCCCACATGTGGATTTCTTTAAATATCAAGTTCTCTCTCCCCAGGATATGAAGAACTTTGCAAATTTTTGTAACTTCTTATCATAAACAAACTGAAACAAAATTCTGCACCAGCCGAATTCAAGAGGTATAGATATTCTCACAGCGGAGAGGATGACAAAGTTCCTGCCTGCCTTACTGCTGCTCACAATGAGGAGTTGGCCAGAGAAAAAGGAACAGGGGGCAACCCTATGACCAAACACCCCAAGATTCACAGCCAGACTTTTAAGAGCAAAGCTTCCAAAGCCCTGTGCCTGGATGAAGGAATCTCCCCATTGCACTTTCTTCCCCATAAATTAAATAAATATCTCTCGTGCTTTCTACCTCAAATACAGAGAATTTTGCCAGTGAAAAAGTGAGCAATGCCTACTTGATATAGGTGTTGGCATTTCCCTCTGGGAAGACGTATGGGTGCTTCTTCCGGAAGACGTGTCCAACACGACTGCAGGGAATGATTTCCAAGCTTCCGCCACACATCCACACTCGGAAAGAGATTTCTGTAAGAGATACTTTGCTTCAGCTTTGGAAAGTCCTGCAGCAGACTAGAGGCTACCTTCATCTCTAGCTTTTTTCAACATATAAAAGAGTTTATATTCTTTTCGGTGCCAGGTTAAAACCTGTTTATTCAACTGTTATTTTAAAAATTAGTATTTTTATCGTTAACAGTCACTTTTTTGTTTTTGATGTAATTTTATGGAATTTGTATTGTTTTATTGTTTTTAATTGTACATTTGTGAGCCGCCCCGAGATGCCGAGGCCCGAGGCATGTGGTGAAGGCATATAAAAGTTTTAAATAAATAAATAATAAATAAATAAAACCAATTAGCTGTTAAAATATTGGGAAAATAAAAAGATCTTCACCTGACACCGAAAAGAATAAAGTGATGGTGCCAGGCGAACTTCCTGGAGAACTTGTTCCGAAGTTGGGATGCCACCACCAAAAAGGCCCTTCTCCGAGTAGCTACCCTCCTAATTTCCTTCAAAGAGGGCTCCCCGAGAAGGAGCTCTGCCTCAGGTCTCAGATACTTGTTCAGTATGTAATGCCAAACCAAGGCTATTCCTCATAAAACCAGAGTGGGCAAGGAAAGCTAAAAGTGAGAACTGGGACCAGTTGCTAGGTGGTGGGGAAGCTGGAGTGTTTTCGCTAAAACTTGCACTATCCTTTTCGCTTAGTGCATAGGCTTGAACTAGGGAGCCCACACCCATATGCTTAAATGCCAGGTAGTGCAGTGCAATCCCACCTCACCATCTCACACGGTGCTGTACCAAACTTTCTCCAGCAAGTGCTCTATAGATTCGGTTTTGCTGGGGGATGCAGGCAGCTCCCTGGGCAGCTACTCTTACACCTACTTCCCTCTGCAGTTCCTCTGCCCCAAGCTGAATCCCCGCGATCATCCTACCCATCTGTCTGCAGCACAAAGGCTGAAGGGCCATTTCTGGTGTCGGTTCAGATCTTGTCCATCTGAACAGGCTTTGCTGAGAAGACACCGCTTCGTGTCCACCCGTGCCCTGTGCCTGGGCACACTTACCTTTTTGTTCTCTACTGTATCCCACGACTGTTCCCCATAGAATCCTAGACCCTACCCAATGGTCCTGTGTAGGCTCTTCTTTCTTCTCTGCCTCATTAGTGGGCCCAGACCACCTTATATTTGCCCCCTGGCAAATCAGGGCACTGACTTCCAACATCCAGGCATCCCGGTCTTCTTTTTATTTTCCCATTATTTTAATGTTTAATAGCTTTTAACGTGGGTTGTATTATGCTGAAGTATTGGATGCTGTGCTCCATTTTATTTGTGTTGCTTTTATTGTAAAGCCATCCCAAGATGCTAGTAGTTGGATGGGATATAAAGGCTTTAAATAAATAAATAATATAAATAAATAACTTTCTCAGGGTGGGAGCAAACCTTGGGGTCATGGTTTAGGCAATGAGAGGAAGCAGGGTCAAGCCATTTGGAAAGGCTACTCCTACACACCAAGAAGGAAAATAAATGCACAAGCACTACAATAGAAGGCTTCGCGGGAGGAAAAACAGCACTACCAGGCAATGGGTGGGATTAGTGTGAAGCAAGAGCATCTGTTTCTATGGATCACTGATAGAGCTGCTGCATTTGCTAAGACACAGGATTATTTTTCCTTGCTAGCCACACTCCCTAGAGGTGTTGGAGTATTAAAGCCAGCTTAAGATCTGTCTCCCTGACATCCCAGTGCCTCCCTTGCTCTTTCACTGCTGCAGTTGGCTTCTTTTCTGTAGCGTTGTTGCAGTCACAAATATTTTTTTTAAAAGAAGATGAAGAAAAGGGAAGCAGCCCAGCCTGATCAAGTCTTTCAGGCATGAACAAAATGAGATAACATCTTCCACCTCCCCTGAGCTGTCCTAGAGCCGTCAGGCAACAGAGGCCGGCTAACCTGGCTGCAAGCACAAGACTTCCTGTTGCACTTGTGGCAAGTTTTGCCCATGTCTGGGTTATGCAGGACGCATCATGCAGTGATCGACACAGGGCCTGTGCTAAGGGGAGGATGCCTGTTTTTCAGCTATTCTTCTCACTGGTCTGTTCTTGTCCTGTTCCAGGGCTGACCCTTCCATGAGGTGAGATGAAGGCCGCACCTCAGGTGGCAGAGTAGGAGGAGTGGTGAATTACACAGCTTCCCCTGCCCCTCCTCAAGAGGGCCTGCTGCCAATATGTCTACTGGGTACTTTGGAGAGCTCTGCCATTGGTGGCATTTGCCAGCAGGGCTCACTGGTGTAGCCACCTGCTGGAGAGCACAAGGAAGTGGGTCGCACAGTTCTTCGAGATGACGTACAAGCTGAAGTGCCTGACTCTGAGGGAAGCCTTCTTCAGAGCCAGGAACTATGGGAAGAGAGTCCCAGGAGAGGCCTGTACAGGGGGACACAATGTGGGCAGAGGGGATGATGCAGTGGCAGTAAGGGGAAAGGGTGCCAGGGGTGCAGTGTGGTAAAAGGAAGTGGGTGTAATGCAGCATCAAGAAAGGGAAATGTGAGGGAATGTAACATGGAAAAGGGAAGGGAAAGGCTGTTTGGGGTGACAACACAGAGAAACTTGCTCCAATGATACTTTGAGTTGGCATGAGTCTGGCCAGAATCACATTGGCAAGAGGTCCTCAAAAGCTGGCTCACAGGAACTGTGGAATATGATGCAGCAAGGGGAGCAGATGTGTGGGTGCCCATTTTAATCCCTTGGAAGACCAGGCATACAAAGGGTCACCTACTCACTCACTGCCTAGTTTTACTGCTTCCAACACCACTTTATTGCCTTGCATATTTAACTGCTCCCTGTAGATAACAAGTTGTTAAAAACAAGCAGAAAATATTATTTCATAGCACAGCACTGAGGAAGCACAACAGATGTTCGAGCTCCACCTCTGTAACAGGCTTTCCCATGGCCACCATAAAATCATCCCCCAGAAGAGGAGCCAATTCTCTCCCTGTTTGGTGACACATTAGCAAAATACGCTGCACTAATTAGAGAAGTCCCGTAGGAAATCCCGACCAGACCTTCAGAATTAACTCTGATACAGCCCATTTCTTCTGCTTAAAATGCCTCCTGTGGCTGATGTTGAGGCAGAGCTGTGTGAACACCATGTTTTCTTCATTCAGATTGTCCTTCTGACAAGAAACTTCCTGCCTGCCCCTTTTGTCCTGTTGGAGAGTGTGAAGCCACAATAGCAACAAGGCAAGAAAAGGTATGCTGCTGGTCTGCACCTTGTGAAGAAAAAGGCTGGCACTTTGTGGAAAACGTAGAAGACTTTTACTTTTTTAATAAAGGTATAGAAGACTTCTTGTTTTCTTAGATTTCTGGCAAATAAGTAAGATTTTTGAGTGACTGAGATCTAGAAACACCAAGAGAATGCGGCTTCCACCTCCTCTCAAATCATCTCAAATCCATGTCGATCATCTTCAAGAGCAGCAGTGACTCACCAAAGTTCTCTCCTCCCCAAATGTCCATCGCTGCATCATATTTTCCAAGATGGTTGAACCAGGTCTTGTCAATCACAAACAGCCCTCCAGCAATGATAGGAGTCCTGCATGGTTTGGAAGGAAAGAAGGGAGAAACTCTCACTTGGGCAGCTTTGCAAAGTAGTGGATACGTGAAACCTAACAGTAAGCATGAGAAGAGTCCTGCTGAAGCATTCTGTTCATTCGGTTCATGCCAGCAGGATATGAGAGTTAAAGCCATGGTCTCCACCAACTGGTAAATACTGCCTCTGATACTGGAAATATAATAGCTATCAGATTAGTGGCCATTTGTAGTTTTTTCTTCATGAATCTGCCTGGCCAAAGTTATGGACATCACTACATCCTGTGGATGAAGTTATGGGCAGCCACCTATGAAGGCACCCTTAATCTTGTCGAGCAAGCTAACATGTGCTAGTTTTGACATAAATACTATCGGTTGCTTTGTACACAAATTTGAAAGCTACGTCAATGATGTGTCTTATGGACATGTTTTAGGAGAAACTGACAGGTTTTCAAGGGAGGTTTTAGGTTTGTACAATGTTTGCACAAGGAGGAAATACAGCCAACTTTCAAAGTATACCAAAAGCACAATTGCAAACATGTTTTCCTCATGGAAGCCTTCCACATACAAAGCATTTCACATGCATGTGTAGAAAGCATAGTTCCCACAGTCTGCCTATAATTCTTCTTATCATACTCCTTCTGGACCCAGAGCACAAAAATAGGCAGATACTCATCAGGCCACTCAAGTGGTGAGAAATCCATTGGCAGCTCCACACGGTTTGGATGAGGGAGAGTCCTACAGCCTTATTGTCCCTTGCACGCTATATATTTACGAATATGCACGCAGAGCACACGGTGGGAGATGAAAGACTCTTACAGCAGATGGCATAACTGCTCATCCTGCATCACACACACAAACGCCACGTGGCATCACATTAGTTGGCCTGTGTGTGCTATGAAAGCCAGCCAAACACCTGGCAAGATTCTTCACATGCATGGAAAGTGAGTAAGGGGGTTCCTTCTGTTCTGCCATGCATGGGTGGCAGCCAGTGGTCCACAAGCTGGACCAAGCCACTGGGGCATCCCGAACACATGGGTGATTTCCTCTCCCCGCCACCTTTGCAGCATGAGGCTTTTACAAATCCTGGCACCGACAGATGCTTTTGAAAGCCTAATTGCAGTGGAGTAGAGATTTCTGCGGGGAGGCGCTCACAGCTGGGGAGGGAAGCGCAGCCCTTCTCTCCCCATGTGCTACCCCCCCTCCGCCCACCACTGCAATTAGATTGAGGAAAGAGCAATGGGAGGCATTCTCATGCCTAATAGCTCTGTGGGGCATCCTCAAGAATGTGCGTGCATAGCTTTATTCAGGAATTCTCAAAGCATGTTCTTTAAACATGATCGCCACCACCCTGTACACACAAGGAGAGATTGGGTTAAGAGGAAGGCCCTCTCTATTTGTGAGGGCTGTGCACAGGAACACTGGTTACAAGATGTCCTGGATCATGGGGAGAGATTCCATGGGTAAAGGAGATTCTCTGTCAGTGATGTGTGAGGAATCTGGTCTGGGGGTAGGAGCCTGTCGGATTTCCTCAGCTCAACTTCCCAGACTACAGCCTGTTTTCCCTCTCCGTTAAGTCCACCTTGCGGCGAGCGTTCACATGTGCAACCAGCAAGGAAGTGAATCTGAGTGAGTGCATGAGGCCGGTGTGCATTCACGCTGCTCCCACAACTGAGGAGCAGGTACTCTGGATCCAGAAGGATCTGGACAGACTATGGAAGCGGGCAGGGGACAAGAGGATGGCGTTCAATGTGGATAAGTGCAAGGTCTTGCACCTGGGGCATAGGAATGGGTGCCAAAAGTACAGATTAGGGGACAAAGCAGCACTTGTGAAAGGGATCTCAGGGTACTGGTTGACTGCAGGCTAAACATGAGCCAGCAGTGTGATGTGGTGGTCAAGAGGGTGAATGCCACCCTTGGTTGCATAGCCAGAGGCGTGTCTTCTAGATCAAGAGAGGTATTACTACCTCTGTATTCAGCTCTGGTGTGCCCGCAACTGGAGTATTGTGTTCAGTTCTGGGCTCCACATTACAGTAAGGATATAGCCAGGTTAGAGTCAGTGCAGCGTAGGGCCACAAGGTTGGTGGCTGGTTTGCAGGGGAAGCCGTACGAGGCGAGACTGAGGGAACTGGGTCTTTTCAGCCTGGAGGAGACTCCAAGGGGATCTGTTGGTGACATACAGGTATGTGAGGGGGTGTCACACGGAGGTGGGTAGAGACCTGTTCTCCCCTGCAGAGGAAGGCAGGATTCGCTCCAACAGAGCCAAGCTCAAGGAACCAAGGTTCAATTTGGATGCCAGGAAGCATTTCCTGACAGTTAGGACCCCGAGGGTATGGAATGGGCTTCCACAGGGGGCGGTTGAAGCCCCATTGGTGAGGGTGTTCCAGGACAGGCTAGACATGAACATGGCAGGTGTGTCATGAGCGGAGCCGGCTGGAGCTGGGGGCCAGACCAGATGGCCCAGGAGACCCCTCCTGACTCCATCAGTTTCTATGTTTGCTTGGTTCACTTCCTGGCCAGGGCTGACTGCAGGAAGAAGTCCAGCAAGGATGAGAGAGCCAGATCCCAGCTGGATCTTCCCATCCCTGCTCTCCGCAGAGTCGCCCTTAATGCAGACAGGATGACAAGAGTGATGAGGGAGGGGTAGGGTAGCGCAGTCCCTCTCTTCGCTTTCAGGGTGGAGTGAACAGGGCTCGTGTGCATGCACGTTTTATGTGTGAGGATGCATATCAATTGGTGGCATGGGTGTGTTGTGTATATTTTGGCCTCACCTACTGTGGGCTAGTGGCTTCCAAGAGGTTAGCTACAATGGATAGGGGATATGAAAAAGGAAATCTCTACATACAAAAACGGTATCTTTCACTAAGTTTCTGGACAAGTAATATTTCAAAGAACCCTTGGCATTTTCTGTCAGTCATAACTCTGCCCCAGCATGTAATGAGTGGCTAATGCACTCATCAGCGCAACTCCTACGAGCGCGATGTTTGCAGCCCTGATTGCAGGCTTCTAAACCCAAAATGCATTTAGCACTTGGGGGTTATTTACATGACATTATTTAGCTGGTGCTCTGTGCCTCGTTTTATCCTGCTAGAAGTCTGGTTTCAAGGGGGAAGAAATGCTTATTCAGAAGGACAAAGAAAGAGCTTTCAAAAAAGTCCTTTGTAATCGGCTCAATTTTGATTTCAAAACAGAGTTATTTTCCCCATTTTCCTCCAGATTAGTAAAGAACAAAGTGAGGAAGTGGGATTGAGCAGAGCAAAGGGGTATGTGTCACAAGGAATGCAGTTTGTTTTACAGGGCATATCCTGTCCTCAGCAGCCCGTTTCATGGCTTGAGGTAGCTTTCCTTTTAGTCTTTCTAATAAGGCACTATTTTATTCAGACAGGACCTTGCTCTATTTTGAAAGGGTTTTTAAAATTGGTTACTGCTGTTTCTTTCATGGTTGTGTTTTTAATTTATTTGTTTTTATGCTATGTTTTGTGACCTAGAAAGCTGCAGCTATTGGGTGGTATAGAAATGAAAATATTAATATCACTGATGATTATTATGTTTTAATTAAGAGTTTGTTTTTAGTCTGGATTTTATGGTTAGCTGCCTTGATCACTAGTTGTTGGTGGAAAGGTGAGATATAAAATATAATAATAAAATGAAAAAAACTAGACAGAAATATTCATTTTACCCCCCCCCCCCACTGCCTTTTGACAAGGCAGTTCCAGTTTGTGGGAATGCCATGAGGCAAAGAAAAAACCAAAAATTATTGGAATACAGAAGAAGGGGGAAATTCACATGTTTCTGGCAATTCTGATAATTAATTGTAGGCTCAGACTTTCATTCCAGCATGCAAGCTATATGCACTATGGGGATCCTGGTGCTCCTAATGTGGGGGGGGGGGGTGGATCTGAGAGTGCTCCCACCCATGAAGAGACACTGGGGGCTGCATGCCCTAATTCCCTGCTTACTTTTTGCCCTCATGTGTTCAGACAGACACACAAACAGAGCTGTTGAGTGTCAGCAAAATGTAAACCCTGATAGCTTTAAGGGCACGTCCCAAAGAAGGTGATGTATCATTTCTGTTAGTTTAGTTACTGAAAGCAATGGCAAATGCAGCCATTATTACAACATCTGCAAAGCAAAGGATAAATATATGCATTTCAGATGCAATCAAGTGATGCATCAGGAAAGATTTCCAATGACTCAATATGCTCTGGCTCCAACGGCTACGGAGCATGTTTCTCTGCCTGCATTTGGCTCTCCTCTGTTGTTCTTTCAATGGCCACCTTTGTGCTTACCCTTCCTCCATCCTGCCACTTACTTGATGGGCTCCGTGGGGTCTGTTCGCTTTGCCTTCTGCTTTGGAGAAAGTTGTTCCCATTTAAAATGTAGGCTCCAGTCAAATCCTAAATATAAAACAAACAGCAGGGATGGACTGATTAGAGATGGCTCTTATGATCATGTTTCAGTCACCTTCATTATGTGAGTTATATTGATTACAACCCAACCAATAAAACTGCTGATCTATTCAAGAGAGGATTCCTAATCGTACTGTAATTCAAGGGTAAGCGACATTTTCTTAATATCCAGTTTATGCTTATGTCTGTGTCCTGTTATTAGTCTATCTTTAGCTAATAAGGGAGATTTATAACTTCTCTATTAACTCTCAAACAGAAACTGGTGCACCTGGTAGCAATTATTACTAGCAGTTCAAATATGATGACAGACTCCAAGAAGAGATTGATTAATTACCTAGCCATGAAATTGATCCCCCCCCCCACAAAGATTCAATAAATATATTCAAAGGAAATTTTGAAAAGTCAGGTGAACCAGATTAGCCTGGTTCAGGCCTTCATGGTCTCAGCGAAGTCAGTAAATATGAAAAGGACCAAAATGTCTTGGTGGCTTACAAGCTGTTAGTAAAGGGAATGTAATCTTGGGCGGCACTAACAGGGGACTAGTGTGTGAGTCTCAGGAAGTAATTGTTCCATTCCAGTCTTGTGTTACTCAGGTTGTTTTTGGAAAACCGTGTCCATTTCTGACTGCCACACTGAAGGGCACTCATCCAGAGACAAGCAACCAGGATGCCGATGGAACTGGGAGCAAAATCCTATGAGGAATAGTATGCTTAGCCTGAAAAAGAGAAGACTAAGACAGAAGCCTTAAATATTTGAAAGGTGCTTGTGCCCATGATGTAGCAGGCTTGCTCTGGAGTGCAGGACTAGAACCAGTGAGGGGTGATTTCAGGGAAGCAGAGTCTAGCAAAAGGTTGGGAGATACTTCCTAACTGTGAGACTGCTGACCAGTGAAACAGGTTGCATCAGGAGGTTGTTGGGGCTATGTAAAGTAGTAGCTGGAGGGTCATCTAGCAAGCATGCTGTACTGCATCCTGCACTGAAGAGTCAGATGATCTTCATAATACCTTCCAACACCTATGAATTAGCCTTTGGGAACAGATGCAACTGATTCATTCGTCCCTGTCCATGAGCTGGAAAAGAATCAGGAATTCTTTCATTAATCATAGTTTTCTGTTTCATTTGAACTGGGAAACTATGGTTAATAGCCTATGTAATAGTGGAAAAGAGAATTATTGTAGCAGGAAGTGGCAGCTCCAGGACAAGTGAAAAGAAGTGGACTGGGGAAGGTCAGTGGATCTCACAGAAGGGAGATTAGCATTTATGACTTTGATCTGTATTTGCCTAATGAGTCACCTGCCTACAGTTAACTGCAGACTTACCTCCCCTTAGATCTGAAGAAGCTGCCACATATGCAAATGTGTCCAAATTAATGATGTCAATAACTGGACTCACCACATGCGTTGGATCCTGTAAGAACAATAAAAGGTTAGGTTTATGAAGAAATGTCTATTTTCCACACAATACACGTATTTTTGTACATCATTTATGGTAGGGTGATTACACCCAGGGCACTGCATTTTTCCGAGCACTGAAAAGAATGTAAGATGTACCTGGGAAAATAAGATGCTTCTCTTGATAATGAACCTAGTGAAGCAGTTAGCAGTGAAATGGGGGAAGAAAATACATATTCATGTGTTATAATTACAAATTAGTTGTAGAAGAGCCTTTTTCAGCTTGCAGTGTCTTGGTTGCAACACTTTTCTAAACAGCATTTTGGACTGGTGCTCCTTGTTTCCACATGAGTGTGCCCACCACTCTGTGGGTAGCCTACAAATACTGTTTGTGGCATGGTTAATGAAGAGCAATATTCTCTCCATTTTGAGGGGTAGAGCGTTCCTTCCCTCCTCCATCACTACGAAGAGGAGTGAAGACGTGTCACGTCCCTCAATATCATTTAAGTAAAGACTGCATGTGTTTTTCTCCATCACGCAGAAAGGCTATGAATTGTCTAAAAGGGAGCATGTTGGCAAAATGTCTGTGGTGTGCTGAATTTTGTCCCGTGAGAGGCAATTTCTATGCACTGCGGGCCTGCTTCCTGGGCCTGCTTAGATACCTCGTGGGCCAGTTCAGACACTGCTGTAATGAAGCAGGGGACGACCCAATCTTAGGCTGTTCCGACAAACCCAACCGAAGGAATTGCCACTAGGTTTGCCTGCTTCAAGAGGTTTCTTGCTAAAAGGGGTCCGACCACTGGGATGATGCTCCTGGAATCCTGTAACAACATTTATTTTATTCAGTCACTTTTCTTTTTATTTAAGATTAGCTTTAGGCTGCCTTTGGGTAAAACCCTCATACGAATAATTGGGAGTGCTGCAGAAAGGAAGCAGCAGCAGGGAGAATCAATGAGGTAGAAGATGTGAAAAAGCTTTTAGTGTCATTTTTAGACAGCAGGACACAATCGCCTAAGTTAATCAACTTTTCACCCAGCACAGATTCAAGTTTGTATAAAATGTGTGGATATTTTTTCAAGTGCAAGGAAAGTTACAAATATGTTGTTGAATACTTTAACATCCCATCTCTAAGCCAGTTCATCCAACTTGTTTTCCGAATACGTGTTGTTCACAATCAATGGATAATCAGCACAGTAGTGGGAAAATAACAAAATGCAACCCATAAGGATCAGTCAGAAGGAAAGGAAGAGGAAACTAAACAGTATAAAATCAGATATTCACTCCTCTACCCTACCATCCAACCCATTATCAGCTGCAAAAAAGGAAGTGATAGAGAATTAGACAGCATTTAATCTGGGTTCTTGCGGCTCACTTAATATCTTGTCACAGGTGGATAGATCATACCAACTCCTAAGGCCCAAATAACTATTGATGCAATAGTCTGACAGCTCCAAATGATCTTCTATCTTCCTTTTTCTTACAAAAGCAACAATTCCAACCATACCTCGGTCTCCAAACTTTGATCCTGACCTGATCAAACCATTTTTCACAAGTGTGCTGAGAGTAACATCTCTACATACATCTACTACTGCTGGAAATTAGTGGTGGCAAAGATGAGCTGTCCAGAAGCACTCTCTAATTTTGTGGGGATGTACAAATCCAGTAGCTGACGGTGTACCAAAAGGTAGGCCTGTAGGTGAAGAGGTGGTAATGACGCCAGAGAACCGAAGTTCCTGGAAGGCTTGAACCATGGAGCCCTTGCACTGAAAGAAGCATGCCATCAAAGGATTTGGCAGCTCAGCTTGGCGTTGCCTATGCAGCTTAGGAGTGGTCTGCGGGGTCCCAGGCAGAGGTCTTTTCTCTTTTTTCTAACAGTGGCATATGGTGTTCTGCCTGCTCTTAACAAATCCTTTAAACTGAAACCCGGACTGCCGTTTGCAAAACACATGTGTTACCACCAAGCTACACTCCCTTCTCCTAAAGATCAGAAGCAAGGACTGGAAAGCAGATGCGGGTCCACCAATGAAAACTTGACCTCGTTCTCACTGCTGTGCTCAGCCTCCCCTCTGATCTGGCTCATGGAAAAAGTCACCGTAGCTCTTAAAGTTTTCATAAAATGGTGGGCCCTTGTACTTTGATTTTCACTTGAAAAAACATTTAGTATAATGGAACAATCAGAAAGTTTTCAAGACACCAAATGTTCACATTATTGCAATGCTGTTTGGCAGCTGTTTCTCCCCTCCAGCCTCACTCAAGACTGCTTCTAAGACTTGCTCCATTTTTCTTCTTCTTTGCCCTCACTGCTGTTAAATGAGAGCGACAAACCATGTGATTTCATTTATAGGCTTGAACTTGCCATCCATATATGACATCATCAATAATGCCTTAGCTAGCCAAGGGTGGTGAGGGAAAAGGAGGCCAACACAAGTGAGATCAGAAGGAAGGCACTGGAATTGCATAAGTGTGTGTGTGTGTGTGTGTGTGTGCGTGTGTAAAATTAATTAAAACATTTTTATGCCACCCCCAGGCACTGGAATTGCATAAGATTATTTATTTATTTATTTAAAACATTTTTATGCCACCCCCATCGCAACAAAGCCTCGGGACGGCTCACAACATTCATGTTCATGAGTTTAAAAAATAATGGAAAAAATGTGGTGCTTTTAAGACTAGTTAAGTAGTTTCAGTTCAATACTAAGAATGCAGCCAAGAAAGCAAATAGGGGATTTGTACTTAATACCTAGAAAGAAAAATACCTCGCTTGTCTATAGTACCTTTTCTTCACACATGTTGTTTTAATTTGCAACTGTTGTGTGGGTGGCAGACTCAAGAAGCTGAAATAGATCTAAAGACCACCAAATTTTTTTAAAAATAGCAAGCAGCAAAGTATGAGCTGGGTTTAAAAAGTCTTGTTTTCTTCATACCCTTCAGCAAAGAAAAGTAAAAACACACCCACAGTGGAACAATCTTAAGGAGTTTAATTAACTCAACATTTTAATCAACATAAAAATAGACTTAAAAAGTCATTCTCCTACACTTAATTCAAATAATGTTAATACAAATTAAAATACACCCACGCAGTTGAATTTTTATTGCAATCCCATCAAGTCAGGGAGAAAAGATAATTATAAAAATATCCAATAAATCAGAAGAAAATTCTTCCCAAATGGATTGTGAAGGATACTTCCTACAATCCTCACCAGCAATGCTGCATAATCCAAAAGACAGCAGGAGACATCATGCATTTTATTCCAAGTCTTGGCATGAGTTAATCATAATCTTTATAGCCAGCTCTTACTGTAGAAATCAGGCTGCTTCAGATTGTCCTGAAGCAGTTAAAAAGTGGGAATTACTGGATATATTCAATAGTATGAACTATCCTGGTTTACTTGGAGGAGTCAACACCAGAGAACCGGAAGGTTTCTCAGGCATTAGAGATGTTCAGAAAAACAGCGTCATGCTTACAGCCCACAGATGTGTCATGCCACGCTTATACAGAGAAAACTTTCTGTCCGGTGCCCTATAAAAAGTAGCATGAACTTTCTCTCAGACCAGAGAAAGTCCATTCAAGTGCTGCCTAACTTCAGAATTCCATCCTTCAGCCCTGCTCCTTGTAGCACCTGGAGCAAATCGCTCTGCTGGTCAGTGTTGGCTAATAGTGCATAACTTGAATTTAATCCTCATGGATTTCTGAATGAGAAAGTCTACTATCCTGTTTATAAGACTCACAACACTGTCCTACTGAGATGAGCAGAAGGCTCCAAACTCAGGGGGTTCTGTTCATCCAGTGAGGGTGAGAAAGAGCAGGTGTGACCTTCACCTCTTGGCTCCTCATACACTACATCCTCCCAAGATGGCTATTTTCAGTGACAGATGGTGTCAGCATTTTGGAAGGGGAAAAACAGAGGCTGTTGCAGCTACAGGATATCTCATACACTGGCCACTCTGGTCTCCTCCTTTCCCTGCACCCCAGACATCCTCTTTGCCCTGTCTCTGAGGTGGTCTTTCCACGGCTTAAAAGGCGGACTGCACTGGCTGCAAGGGGGGCTGGCATCGGAGCTCTGATTCCGAGCTCCAAAGGTGGAGCCACCTCTGACCTCAGTGTTGGGAATTGGAGCTATCTTAGGGGCCCTCAGGCAACACTTAAGGGCCTTAAAATGGTTCCCTCCATGATATGAATGGACAAATTTCTGGAAACATTTTCAGTGCAGATTAGCTTAATTTGCACAGGACTATTTGCAGAAGAAAAATCTGGTTTGCATCAGAAAATAATCTGGTGCCCTGGAACAGCAATGGGCAACTTGTAGCCCTCCAGAAGATGTGACCAACAGTTCCCATTATCCTCTCCACTGGTTTGGTGGTTAGAGTTGATGGGAGTCAGTGGCCAAGACATCTGGAGAGTCACAAGTTGCCCCTAGGGAGATCTAATGCAGCATGTTTACTACTTGCATTTAGTAAACAACAAAGTTAAAAATGCACTGTAAGCATTTGACCTAAAAAGTTGGAAGAACACACTAAACGGCAGAATCTCATGCATATTTAGACAGAAAAATGTCTTACCACTCTCAGGATTCTAGGGCCTTTCCCTGCCTAAACATATATAGGATTGTATCGTTAAGTGCTATGCTATCTGAACACTTTACATTTTTAATTTAAAGACAATATAATGTACCTTTGTTATAGGCCCCTAATATGACCCTAAGACCGTTCAGAGGGCTATGGACATCCTCAATGGATTGCCCCCTGCATTGACTAATTTTAAGAAACAATTAAGGTACTGGAACATGTTGGCACATGAGCTAATTGAGCCACCCAAAGAAATGCGCGAAATAACTTCTTATCTGTTTTGAGTTCAACTCTGTTCTGCTAAGGGTTTTGGAGCAGCTTCAGTTTTGCTGTCATTAAGTATTAGCGCCATGTCGCACTGAGAGATAAATGTTACATGTGTACCCTCTCTTTTCTTTCATGAAGCCACCCTTCCCTTTTATCCTCACTACAACCCTGCAAGGTAGGATA